GGTGTCCTTGTTTGACCACCCATGGTTGACCACCCACCCATGGGGGTCTTTGTTTGACCACCCATGGGGGTCCCTGTTTGACCATCCATGGTCTCCTCCCCACCCATGGGGTCCTTGTTTGACCACCCATGGTCCCCTCCAACCATGGGGGTCCTTGTTTGACCACCCATGGTTGACCACCCACCCATGGGGGTCTTTGTTTGACCACCCATGGGGGTCCCTGTTTGACCATCCATGGTCTCCTCCCCACCCATGGAAGTTCCTGCTTGACCACCCATGGTCCCCCCACCCATGGGGGTCCCTGCTTGACCACCCAGGTCCCCCCACCCATGGGGGTCCTTGTTTGACCACCCATGGTCTTCCCACCCATGAAGGACAGGTAGGAGGTCCCTGTTTGACCACCCATGGTCCTCCCCACCCATGGGGGGTCCCAGTTTGACCATCCATGGTCTCCTCCCCACCCATGGGGTCCTTGTTTGACCACCCATGGTCCCCATCATCCATGGGGTTCATGTAGATGTCCCCATTTGACCACCCATGGTCTTCCCACCCATAAAGGACAGGTAGGGGGTCCCTGCTTGACCATCCATGGTCCCCCCCCCACCCATGGGGTCCTTGTTTGACCACCCATGGTCCCCATCATCCATGGGGTTCATGTAGATGTCCCCATTTGACCACCCATGGTCTTCCCACCCATAAAGGACAGGTAGGGGGTCCCTGCTTGACCATCCATGGTCCCCCCCCCACCCATGGGGTCCTTGTTTGACCACCCATGGTCCCCATCATCCATGGGGTTCATGTAGATGTCCCCATTTGACCACCCATGGTCTTCCCACCCATAAAGGACAGGTAGGGGGTCCCTGCTTGACCATCCATGGTCCCCCCCCCACCCATGGGGTCCTTGTTTGACCACCCATGGTCCCCATCATCCATGGGGTTCATGTAGATGTCCCCATTTGACCACCCATGGTCTTCCCACCCATAAAGGACAGGTAGGGGGTCCCTGCTTGACCATCCATGGTCCCCCCCCCACCCATGGGGTCCTTGTTTGACCACCCATGGTCCCCATCATCCATGGGGTTCATGTAGATGTCCCCATTTGACCACCCATGGTCTTCCCACCCATAAAGGACAGGTAGGGGGTCCCTGCTTGACCATCCATGGTCCCCCCCCCACCCATGGGGTCCTTGTTTGACCACCCATGGTCCCCATCATCCATGGGGTTCATGTAGATGTCCCCATTTGACCACCCATGGTCTTCCCACCCATAAAGGACAGGTAGGGGGTCCCTGCTTGACCATCCATGGTCCCCCCCCCACCCATGGGGTCCTTGTTTGACCACCCATGGTCCCCATCATCCATGGGGTTCATGTAGATGTCCCCATTTGACCACCCATGGTCTTCCCACCCATAAAGGACAGGTAGGGGGTCCCTGCTTGACCATCCATGGTCCCCCCCCCACCCATGGGGTCCTTGTTTGACCACCCATGGTCCCCATCATCCATGGGGTTCATGTAGATGTCCCCATTTGACCACCCATGGTCTTCCCACCCATAAAGGACAGGTAGGGGGTCCCTGCTTGACCATCCATGGTCCCCCCCCCACCCATGGGGTCCTTGTTTGACCACCCATGGTCCCCATCATCCATGGGGTTCATGTAGATGTCCCCATTTGACCACCCATGGTCTTCCCACCCATAAAGGACAGGTAGGGGGTCCCTGCTTGACCATCCATGGTCCCCCCCCCACCCATGGGGTCCTTGTTTGACCACCCATGGTCCCCATCATCCATGGGGTTCATGTAGATGTCCCCATTTGACCACCCATGGTCTTCCCACCCATAAAGGACAGGTAGGGGGTCCCTGCTTGACCATCCATGGTCCCCCCCCCACCCATGGGGTCCTTGTTTGACCACCCATGGTTGACCACCCACCCATGGGGGTCTTTGTTTGACCACCCATGGGGGTCCCTGTTTGACCATCCATGGTCTCCTCCCCACCCATGGAAGTTCCTGCTTGACCACCCATGGTCCCCCCACCCATGGGGGTCCCTGCTTGACCACCCAGGTCCCCCCACCCATGGGGGTCCTTGTTTGACCACCCATGGTCTTCCCACCCATGAAGGACAGGTAGGGGGTCCCTGTTTGACCATCCATGGTCTCCTCCCCACCCATGGGGTCCTTGTTTGACCACCCATGGTCCCCTCCAACCATGGGGGTCCCAGTTTGACCACCCATGGTCCCCCTCACCCATGGGGATCCCTGTTTGACCACCCATGGTGCCCCCACCCATGGGGGTCCCTGTTAGACCATCCATGGTCCCCCCCACCCATGGGGGTCCCTATTTGGCCACCCATGGTCTTCTCACCCATGAAGGACAGGTAAGGGGTCCCAGTTTGACCACCCATGGTGTTTCTACCCCCCCCCTCCCCTTCCCCTTCCCCCCAGGGATATTTTATGGCTTCAAGGGTCTCCTGCTCCTCTTGGGCATCTTCTTGGCCTACGAGACCAAGAGCGTCTCCACCGAGAAGATCAACGACCACCG